AAATACTGCCTCGGGAATTTGATTGGCCCAACAAGTTTTACTTCCCTACCATGTGGAAGGCACCTAAGTCATTTTTGCATAGGCCCTAAAATCTCCATTCATCTGTTGTGATGTGCTTATCCATTTGATATTCAAACAATTTTTATTTGCTTCAAATGACAAATTACAATTCATTTTTGTTCAATTTTTGTCCTAACTACATCATATGTGAGCCCAAATCTTTTTCTTACAGCAGGTTTTGTTCTACTTTGGTATTCTGATTCAAATCATCCATGTTGGTATACTTGTCCAATCTGCCTGTTTCTAGTGACCTCATCTTCTTCATTCATTTCATCATTCAATTCTTCTCAACTCAGCAATGAGATTTTTTTTTCAAAAAAGATTTCTTGACAAGGGTATATTGTCCTGAGACCTGAATTCACTTGCAATATCAAAACCTATCAGCCTTCTCATTAAGTGTCAGGGAAATGTGTCAATGTCCCTTTCCAACACTGGAATCTGGCTGGCCATTGAGAGGAGGTGTACATCTTTTGATGGGTAGGCTTCCACTTTGAGTGACTGAGGATAACAAGCTTGGTGTAAAAATTGAGTCAAGGTTTATAGCTCACTGAAGGGAGCTTGAGGAGTGGCAATCAAGACAAGTTTCAAACCACCAACGAAGGGTTTGGCAATCATATGTCAAGGGTGTAGGATTGTACTTCCCATTGACAGATTGGACAACTATTTTCAAGAGGACATGTATGCCAGCTGAATAACCCCTATGACAATTTGCCATAGAGGTGTTTATACCTGTGACAAACTGTCATGAGGACCATTATTTGAGAGGAGATGGCCAGTTCTTCAACTGGTCATTGACTGGTCTTAATGGCTTGTTGTGCCAGTTCATCCTGCACTTGGGGTCATGAAGTTGAATTGGTGGTACCACTGAGTCATTGAAGCTGGTTACAAATCTATCAAGCTTAGTTTGGTCTGAGGAGGGTGTGGGTTGGAACCCATTTGTTACTAATGGTATACTCCATTTGCAACACGTATCTGAGGCTTATGAGTGCTTGTTGGGGTTATGTGCAGGCTTTTATTGGTGGACTAGGTGCCAAGTGATTTTAGACATACACGTTTACTAACTCAACATCCATGGAGATTTTCAAACATTGTGCCAATAAAATTTCCAAGCTACCGTAAGCTTTCCTCTGTGTTCTACCAAAGTTCCTCCCTCAAGTGATGTTTTTTCTTCCATTTTTATTACTTCTCTTCATCCTTCAAGGACAAAACAAATTCAATCTTACCAGGATGTATCATGTTTTTTTGGACTGTTCAAAAAAAGTCAGGTTCAAAAGCCTACTTGAACTTGACCATCAATTTGAAATCATTGCTTTTGTTAGCCCATAATCATTTGATTTTAGTTGATACCTCTCCCCAAGACTATGAAGTGTCTTTTTGAACAGAAATATTAATAATAAAATTCAAGTAAGTTGATAAATCTTCAAATTGATATGTGGAGTGCAGTGCCTTTTTATTCATTGATATCCTGTTTATAGCAGCCAAGGTGTGCACTGTGATCAAGGTTACAAATCTGCACACACATATAATATCATGGGGACAAACATTGGTTTAGTGGACTTTGCTAAGGGACAACCGTTTTTAACACCATTCCTCCACAATTTGAAGTGTGGTGCCAAGGTTTTCTTGGCCTTGACTTGCTGAAAAAATCAGCTGCCTATACAAGGGAAAAAAGGAAGTAAAAAAATGAATAGAGAGAAATAAGCTCACAGATTAATAAATCTTTGAAGATTATTGCCGGTGTAGCATCAGAAATCACAAAGAGAGGAATTGAAAGAGATTTATTCTGTGAAGTGTTAAGTTTAAAGCTGAGTCTTGAGTGTCCTGAGACTTTGAATCCTGAATTTGATTGTCATAACACCACATCTCCTACACATATCTATCAGGTTTTCCTTCATATTCCAACTTTCCCCAACTGGAAAATCCTTTACACAAAAGATGGCCCCTCAAACTGTTCACTCAGGGGTTTGATGTAAACCTACAGGTTCATGGATATTTACTTCTATAACACTCCAGTGGAAGAGGTGAAAAATCACCATTCTCTACAGAGCACATTTGTGTGAAATTGATGCTGTCTCCCTGGAGTGAAAAAGGATAAATAGCTTACAGGCAGACCTATAGCTGGATCGTTTTTGTTTGAATTCAAGACGGTAATGCCGTGATAAGACTATCCCTAACTTCCGGGAGCGTTGTTTTGAGGCCATGAGCTTAGGAGATGGATCCTGTTGCTCATTGCCACTTAATCGGCAGCCATGAGCAGCTGAAAGCCAGACACCCAAAATCAAACCAATCTAATCAAAGAAAATAGTTTTGAATGCTTACTGATGGAACTGGTACATGAAGCCCCACACTTCCAAGCGGTATTGTTTTTTATCTGTGCACACTTTGAAAACAGAAGCAATGTCCAGGCAATATTGGTACAAGGCACAATTCAGTTGGGTCATCAGTAACTTGGGCATGAATGAGAAGATACAATGTGTTGGACCCTCACCATTAGAACTCCCAGAGAAATCGTGGATGGCTAGAAAAGTGTTGACTCGTCGAGCTGATATGTTCCGGATCGGCTGTGATTTGTCGGTTCCACAATCCCGCTCGGTGGGAAGTTTCTTACTCGAATTTATGATTCCCCTTCCTCCAACTCTTGAAAGCGGGTAGCTCAGCAAAGAAAAATCAAAACCGCTTCCATTCACACCAGCTTGCTTTAAACAACAAAATTATAAGGTGCGCTGTTTCCTTCCTCTCCTTGTTATCTCGATTCAATCAGAGTTGCTTATGCTAACTTTGGTCCTCTTCTTTGTATTTCTTTTGCATAGCTCAACCAGTCGCTTCGCTTACTTGACAATCGTTGAAAACGGTGAACAGGATCCCTGTAGTTTTCTTTCATCGCTCTCAATTTTCGGCTGTTTCCTTCCTCTCCTTTTTATCTTGATTCAATCAGAGTTGCTTATGTTAACTTTGGTCCTCTTCTTTGTACTTCTTTTGCTTAGCTCAACCAGTGGCAAATGTGCATCCAGTATTCAAAATGAAACATGGTCAGGATAATGATAAAGAAAAGCTCCTGTGACAGCTTGAGATAAGTGTAACTTCTGAGCTAGTAGAGATAAGAGGGTAGTTGTAGTGAGTGAGTAGGGGTTATTTTACCTCAGGAATCCACCCTATCTTCAATATGTAGAGAGATAATAATAAATTTTTATATTTTTGGCGTAGAAACACAGGAATAATTACCACAGCGGCCCCATCTATTTCCTTCAACAGCGGGGATTGAAGACACACCCTCATCACTGGAGAACTGGTTAAGTCAACGGGAGGGGGCCTGGGTAGACGCACGCAACAACCTTTGGACCAGCCGAGTCCAACAGGCACTGCAACACAACAAGCACTGCCAAGACACATCACCTCTGGAAGAGGGATTGTGGGTCAAATTCCCTTCACCCAATTTCTCTTTTGTTTTCTTCATTCAATCCATTCACCTTCAATCCTTGTCTTCTCTTCTTCTCTGCCTGGTGAGATTTGTCTTATTCTCTCTACTCATATCAGTCTTTTCTCAACTAACTCTTGCCTATCAGTTCTCTCCAACTGTTAATCTTCCATTCTCTCCTTGTCGCCTGTGCTTTCTCTTAAATGATCTGCTCAATCAATGTTGGTTTTTCTCTTTCGTTCTCTTTCTCTCTTGTTCTATGCTTTTTCTCATTGCTCTTTGTTTCTGGTGTGTTGGCCCTTTTATTAATCAATCACAGTTCACAAATCTTTTAGGAAGATGGATGAGGGAGGGGAAGATTGAACGGATAAAGAGGGGAAACACACATGAGCTTTGAGAAATTTGGGAAGTGGCTAAAATACTGTCAACCACCTTTAAGGAAGCCTCTCTGTTTCTTGTGTGGCCCACTGCATGCTTTAGGATTGGTTTATGGGTACCCCTCAGGTGCAAAAAATGAACCACCCAAGTGCATTCCAGTGGAGGCTGTGAGAGTGAAGAGTCTAGTTCAGTACCACAACACATGATCTGTCATGGCTGGGACCCAATGCAGCAAATCACTGATATTGGAAATGTATTTCAATATACTTTCCAATCATTGCTGTGAAGCTTAATAAATCTATGTTGAGATTACAAGCTATGGGTTGGGGATTTACACACAAACAGTCCCACCAAATCTTAAAGATGACATTTGGTAAGCATGACAGACAGCTTCTGTACCAAGTTCCTAACACTCCACTTGAGGTTAAAATGCTTCACACCTTGCACCCAAGCAACACAGGACTTGTGTTATGTCTGCAGCCATGGGACTTGCTTAATCCTAAACTGTTAAAAAGCTGTTAATGACTTCAGGTAGCAAGCATCTGTTGAGAAGTACCAGTTATAGTCAACAAGATCCATCCCATATCAAGAAAGAGAAGCAAGAAAACCAGAGTGAAAGCCAATGCTCACTTTGTTTAAACATTGTACAAAAGGACTCAACAACTACAAATCAGGAAAAGAGACAACAGATCTTGATAAATGAGATGGAGACTGGACCAAAGAGGATTTATTGGGGTCATCAAAAGCTTACCCAAACAGTCTGTATGACTTCATCTGCAAATGATTTTGATAGGACTACTTCATCACTAAAGCCATTGGGGTTGGGGGAGAAGAAGGATTCAAATGTGTGCATGTTACACTGAGTGTAGTGGGGTCAAAAGTGAATGGTAGGCATGGCATGCTGACTTTTTTTTGCCTCAATGGACTGCAGTTTCAATAAATCAAGGTCACTGAAAAGATAGGAAGAAAGTGGACGACTTCCCGTCGGCATTTACAACCCTCGCAGAATTTGATTTACACCATGAACATCTTAATTTTTGGCAAAAAAAACTTTCTTCAGAAGCCTATCAGTGAAGGCCCTCTTGTGAGCTAGGTGTGGTTATGATTAGAGTGTTAATTTAGACCTGAGAGAGGTCTAAAAAACACTCTAAATAGCGACGGGAACTCCTCCAGTGTATTGGTCTCTGGGAAAATAGAAGTGAGAGATTATGAGAAAAGAGAAACATTTTGTTTTCTGTTCAGACTGACGGATGATTTTTGTTGACTCCATTGGGTGCATTGTTCATTTGATCTACCTGTGCAAGGATGGCATTGTTCACTTGATCTACCTGTGCAAAGATGCTAGCTCTCTGTTGATCCAGTCATCAACAGATGTTTAAAGTAAGGGTTAGATCATAGGTGTATCAAAGTTCAGTTCTGCTTACCAATTCATTGAACTCAATATGGTTGATAATATCTCGCAGGGGCTTGGGGTTTTTCATGATTGCATTCTTAATAGCTTCCAACCTACAATAGAATGCAACATAAATCTTCAGTAATTTGTTTTGAGATATAATGACTGGATGGAGAGCTCACTGGTTTTTGTTTGGATGCCAAATCCCACCAGCCACAAAGGATCTATCACCTGGCTTGAAAAGGAGGGGAAAAGTGAAAAAATGATCAGATGGGTGGCAAAGAATATGTCAATCTGTTGATTCAACCTTAAATAAAACTAACTGACTTAAACTCGAATATAATAAAGAGCCCATGGCATCTCTTCATCTCTTGAGAAGCCAGCAGAGAGAAAGGTTTTGTATGGTGTTTTATTGTTTGAGTATCTAACATCTCGCCTTTTTCAACCAAAAAAAAGATTCAGAACAAAGTCATTTGAGGAGAGATGGAGGAAGAAAACTCACACAATGTTGTAGATCACGTTGTTGGCTGGTTGCAATGGAACTGTGTTGTCACATTCAATTATCCTAGGAAACAGGAAATTTATAAATTGGATCCAATTTTCCTTCACATTCTTGAAAAGTATGCCTGATGGAAATGAAGAAATATCCAAAACAAGTTAGTTTGAGTGATGTTGGAAAATAGGATTTTGCCATCCTATGCCAAGGGATGATCAGAAAAAAGAACAATGGCTTACCTTGTTGGGATCAGCCAACCTTGGTTGTTATTTTGCGGCAAGGGCAGGCCTTTCAAAAGATCCATTGTCCGGAGAGAAAAAAAAACAATTGATTACTGCTTTTCTATTGAGTTATGAATGCCATACTCACAAGCCAGCAATTTGTACAAGGGTGGTTTGGGACTCAGGATTGATGTTTAAGACAGCCTTTTTTTTCTGTTTTTGAGGCTGGTTGGTGCCAAGTGGGTTGAATTGGGTGTGCAGTGGTTTTGATTGGGTTCGACTGCTTGGTGGTGATGTCATTGTCCTCTTTTGATGGTTATTATTGTGTTTGATTGAATAGTTGCCCTGCACAAAAAATGTAGATCCAAGTATGTGTTCATGTACTCGAAACAGGAAAAAATTAGTCAGGTTGTTGAAAATTGAAAGTGATGGAAGAAAAATACAGGGATCCTGTTTGCCGTTTGCGAAAATTGTCGAGTAAGCAAAGCGACTGGTTGAGCTAAGCAAAAGAAGTACAAAGAAGAGGACCAAAGTTAACATAAGCAACTCTGATTGAATTGAGATAACAAGGAGAGGAAGGAAACAGCCGAAAATTGAGAGCGATGGAAAAGAATACAGGGATCCTGTTGACCGTTTGCGACGATTGTGACATAAGCACATTTTCCACCACCTTGTGCTTCTCTTACACACACTTCTGCCTTCAAAAGTGTGTGTAATATCTGATATTTGTTGAAAGGTACCTCTTAGAGCATTGCAGGGATCTTGCTCTGAACAAAAAAGTGGTGGTGCTGAACACTCCCATTTTTCTCCCTCTAATAACTGCAATGTATTGCTGTTTTGCATTTATTTAGGTGAGTGAAGTATCAAAACATTTGCAAGCAAACACTTCCAACAAAAAAAAAGAGGCAAGGCACTAAGTAAGTGTTTTCAGCTGCTCCAGATTAGTTTCATTTGAAGATGAAGTTCATTGCCAATACTCATTGTAGCAGTAGCAGAACTGTTTGGGCAAACTGTTTCCTCCATCAAAAAAGCAAGGATAAGTTCTGTATTAAAAAAACTCCCTGATGGATGTGCTCCTGGTTAATTTTAATCTAGACCTGTGAGCTGAAGAGGAATTCATGAGTTGGTGTTTTGCCTCACAAAAATTGCCAAAAAAGATTATGACAAGTATTACTGACAAACCAGGAAAATCATTCAGTGCAAAAAGAAATACTTGTCTTAGTACACATTTTATGTACAAATTCTAACAACACCATCTTTTTGAGGATTTGTATTTGAATTGTTGAAAAATCCCACCTTGACCATCTTCTAGTGTGTCAGCTTTCTGATATGGGAGTTGAAGGGATAACTTCAAATCACAGAGAAAGCAGAAACTTTGAATGCACATACTCTTTCATAGATCTTTTGTCAAATCAAAAATTCACTATATACAACCTTGTTTGACCTGGAGCTTTGAGTAGGACCACCCTCATGTAGGCAAAATCCCTCCTTTTTTGTATCATAAACTTAAAATCTGATTTTTCAACTGGAAGGGATGCCATCATAAAGTTGATTGTTCTGATGGACTCCTGAGAGTCTATCGAGGCTCTATGTAAACCTTTAAAATTTAAGGAATCTAGAAGATACCATATTTTAAAGTCTCCTGGTCCCTACTTTCCGATAAATAAAAATTTTCTTGTCCTCTATTACATGAGTAGAAAATATTTTAAGGGCACCATTTTTAATACTCCTAAAACTGTGTAGACTTTCTCCCCCACTATATTTACATTTCTTTGCCTTCAAGGCCCCCCAATCCATGAAATTGTTCATCTAAGGATCATACATGCCTGCTAATTATCTTGGACCCATGAGCTGACCTGACTACTCCCCCCCTCAAAAGTGTTCCCATGTTCCAAATACCAATTTATCCCAGCCCTTCTTAATATTGGATGTATTTAACAAGCTAGTGATTATTCTTGAAAGTTATTCAAGTGTGGATATTTTTAGTACTGAGTTCAAGTTGCACCACAGATGAGTAGGTTTTTGATGCTATTTTCATGCTTCTTCTTGCATATACAGTGAAGGCTTTTTCTGATAGATTACTGTAATTTTTGGTGGTGATTACTCCTCAAATGAAATCTGACGTCAGGTTCAACATGGAATACTATGTCTAAGCTCTTTCCCATCAGTTATATTATATTATTGAAAGAAAGAAATTTACTTCAGATGGTACCAGCTTAAATAACCGTGTATTTTAAAGAAGACATTAAATCTACTGAAAATTACTCAATTAAGCTGTCTTCTTGAAAAATTTAAAAAATCTGCTCCTGTCAATCCCATCTTCTGGGCGTCTTTAGATTAAATCAAGATTTATCTTCAGGTTTGTCACAATCCTCACTCAACTTCAAAAACACCAATATCACACACAACTTCAAAAACACCAATATCACACACTACTGACAGGCTCATGTTTCAGTTTTTCAACTTCCAAATCATGATCCATCATGAAAAGTCCATTTGCTCTGCAGTTGAGGTCATTTTTTATGTTTTAATGTTGCTAATTTTTAATCCAATTACATCACTCCTTTCAGAGTCATTTTACTTTCATTCACCTAAAACTTGATATCAGGAGCCATATGGTTCATTTAGCCCTCACCCCACATCAATTTGTTTATGATCAAAAAATTTAATATAAAAGATATTATCCATATGAAAATAAATCTCAAATTAATCAGGGTCACAGGATATTTAGTCTTTCTTGACCTGCACTTTTTTTTAAATGAATATCTCACAATAAGACAAAATTGTGTGATTCCAAAACAAAGCAATTCTGTGATTTTTTTCCTTGCACTGGGGGTTCTTTGAAGGATTATTTCCCATGGATTTAGCTTGCAATTCAAAAAGATACACATGAGTTCAATTGAATAACTTATGCAGTAAAAAAATGTGATGCACCTATATCTGGTATTCAACTCAGCAGTCTCCATGATCCAACAAACTTGTGGAAAACAATGAATGAAAATGAGATAAGAATTGGAGCCTCCAGATATTTCTGAATCAACCTGTTTCCAATAAAATTGATAAATTTAGGGCCTGTACCATGGGATTCAATTTTGAAAATTTATCATTTTTCCTGGCTTCCACACAAAAATTGAAAACAATTCAAGAAGTCTGCTGCTGAAATTCTTCACTTTTAGGCCAAAACCTATCTATTTGCAATGGTCACTTGTGATGATATGAGAATTTGAGGAAGATAAATTCCAAGAAATTGGATTTTCAAGCCCTACGGTACAGGCCCTTACTTGATCTCCTGCACCTGTTGCAGTTGTGAAATTGAAATTTACTTGAATTTCTGTCCTGAAATTTAAATGAGAGAAAGGTCCCACTCCTGGTAGACAAATTTTGACAAGCCCTTTATATTTGTTTTTTTGATATCTTGACTATGATGAAAAGATCATTCAATTCATTAGGGGGGTTCACAATAGCTTTTTTGGCTTATGGTCCCCCCTAAGAAAAATTCTTGCTGGTCACTTTTTTGGCCTAAAAATTAACCCAAACAACTGGCACAAACATCGGCCAACACGCAACAAATCCCTCTGGCCGTCGGTTAAATTTATAAGCCATCATAAGATTTGACTTGCCCCTAATAATTACATATATGCTCAACTGTATCGTATTCCGTGTCATTTAACAGCCATTTATCAAGTCCAACCACTTTGGTACACTTTCCCTTTTAATAATTTCATTTCATTCAGAAGAATCAAACAAAGCTGTTACAAAAATGTAAGTGAAGCTCATGATTTCATCTGGAAGGCTTATGTATTCTCAATCAAGAAACTCCTAAATAATATGTAACTAAATGAGCCTGACTTGACCAAGACATCAATATAAATGTATGATCTTCTTGGCCTTGAGCCAACAAACATTCAAGTGGGAGATGGTTTGGGTCAATCCGATCTCATATGGATGATAAAGAGAACCAAGTAGATTCTGAGAGAAGAACACTGGGCATCCTATGTACATACAACAGTGATGGCAATTGGGCATTCAAGTATTGATTAGTCAGTACCAGATGCAAGAGATCCCTCACAATTGATTTGTCCTTGAGCAGAACATCTATCACCAAAGCTCGGCCTGGATTGCTAGGCGCTACAACACGGCCAAGTGAGGGAACGGTGGGGTCAATGAGGTCATTGGTTTCTTGCTGGAGAAAGAGGATTAGTATCATCAGGAGATCTCCGAGGATATGTTGTTGTTTGATGTATTTGTGCATGGTGAGAGCTTGGGGGGATGGCCGGTATCAGTGCACTGAGGTTATCTGGAGCTGCCAAGCAGTTACGTTCATGTGCGCAACCTTTCTGGTGGGACAATAAAAACTTTCTGGTGAAAGGCTATCGTGAACCCTCCTATATAAGAGCCCTTGTTTATCCAACCTTTTTGGTTGATTTTTTCACCACAATACAAGCTCACAAAACTCAATGTTTGAATAATTCAATGATGGGGGGCCTGGGTTGGAAATTTTGCATGTTTAAGTTTTATACCTCCACTAACTAAACTAATGTGTGCTATGTTGAATTCTTTAATATCTAGTTTGATATGTGGCTATGAATTTTGAGAAAAATGTGTAATCAGGGAGTTCTTTTTGTAAATCCACAACCAAAATGCTGGAAATAATTTCTTTCCTCTCTCTTATTTGGAATTTGAGAAAGTGTTAAGTCAATCAAGGTATGTTTGATAAATTCTGGCCAGTAGATTTTTCAATATTGTGTGTGTGCAATGGGGGGAGGAGGGGTGGCTCAGGGTGAGAGACATTAAATTCCTCATTGTTGAATTGTATTTCCCCATATGTGCTCAAATCAACAAGACACCACTGATCTATTTATTTACTGTTCCAAGTAAATCCTTTCATGTGAATCAAAAGATCATCTTAATTTCCATTGGAAATATATAGTCTGATTGGAAAAAGCTGCTGTGGACTTTACCTTGAGGATGGGTGATGTGGGGAAATTAATTCAGGTGTTGCAGAAGTGTTTTTCAGATGGTGGCAATATTGAATTCAAATGAAGGTCATGGTATTATACAAAAATTATAAATCTATTTAATTACATCCCAGTTTGATGGTACATCCACCCTGGACATGAGTAAGTGAAAAAGGATAAAGTCATGATCTAGATGAGATATAATGAGAGATATAACATTTGATTGTTCTGATTATAACACAGATGGATTTTGAGATATCCAGGGAATACAGCAAAACCACCCACTATTGGGTGCCAGATCTTTTTTCCTGGTTAGGGGAAGCTGCAGACATCATCGGAAGAGGAGTCCCATTGGTTAGCGAGTTCACCATATGACACACGGAAGCATCCACGCTTGCCATGTCTTGCATGAGAATTAAGGCCTTTTGATGTGCCCTGGCCATGAGGCCCCACACATAGACCATAGGGGGTATCAAATATAACCAAATCCACCATTATTTAATTGACTGGTTTGAAAAAATCCACCCTTTTTTAAACATTCTGGTTATCCATTTAAGCCCTTTTGGGGCCCATTTATGCAAAAAAAAGTTTTTGAAAAAGTGACTGGTTTCTGGTGGTGGATTTCCTATATTTGATACCCCCTCATATGTGCTTCATTGGCAACAAATAAGCCGAGGCGGCTTTGGAAAGTGGGATTGAAGTATATATCACAAAAAATTGGACTGTTAAGCAATGCTTCTGGGCTCTGTTCCAGCAAAGCTAAATATTATCTCATTTGTGTTTCCTTCAATGTCTTGCGACATTTGAACTGCATTGAGCATTCATTACTGACTAGAACATGCCCTGCATCAAGTTGACTTCCAAAATTTTTTTTTTTGAGCTACCCCAACAGATTTTTTCTCCTAGACCTGTCAAGTTTTACATAAATAAATCAATTCAAAAAAGATGTTTGAGATTACTCTGTTTTTTTTTTGAAAAAAAAAGAAAACAGACAAACCTGATGATCTCCCAGGGAGTCTAGAGGGTTCACCACAAGCAAAATCGCCTTCTGATCAGGTTGGAATAAATTATGGTACATTTCAGCAATTTGGGTCTTGCCAAAACCGGTGCCCGCAAGAACAAAGGTGTGTAGGCCGTGGACCAAGGCAGCTACTACCTCAACCTGTTCATCCTTAGCCTCATCTCCGTACAGCTCTCTAGAGTTGACTCAAATACGTATCTTGAGGTCTTCATGACTAAGGTTCAAGATATCTTGACATAAAGTGATCCTCTTTTTGACAATGCTTGTTTTTTCAAGGCAGTGAAGTTGTCAAGAAGAGCAGCCTCAGGATTGGTGGCGTTGTTTTCATTGGTAAACAAAGGCTTGTCAAAGTCAGGCTTGGAGAGAGAGGAAGCTGGGGTTCTGGAATCTCTCTCAACAGGAAAGGAAGGTTCTAGTTTGGAAGGATCGACAAGATCTTGTAGAGGAGATTGTGGAGTTCCAGGCGGTGCTGAGTCTTCAGAATTGCTACCCATGTTTGATCATTTATTTTCGAAGTCGTTCTCAAGATAAACACTGATCAAGCAACCAAAAACAACTGTTGATCTCTTTTTCCTTGCTACACATAACAGTCAAGAGGCTGTGATCACACCTACTACATCTTTTCATTTTGTGCTTAGTAATTAAAAAATTGGAAGCTGAAAAAAACAAACTAACAGTGATGTAATGTAACATACAGCCGGTAACTCAGGTTGAAAAGTCATTGATTGGAAAAAAATATTAAAAAAACTGAGAAGGTTCAAAGAAAAAAGAAAAAGACAAGAGCATGTACAAGAGGCAGGCCTTCAATGCCTCCAAATCAGGTTTAATACACATTGACTAATGAGTGCGTACTGAGATTGTAACTTGAAAAATGGGTTTCAGGCCTAAAAGTTGAATCTCGGCACGCGGGACTTGCAACCTAGGACATAGGCCTCCACTGGCATGGACAGCTCCGCTGCTTGCTACCACTCCCACCGTTGTGGTGAGACCAATCAAGGTCATATATAGTACCAAATAGCTATTTACAGGAGTTTTCATGTTATTACAACCAGATATGTATATGCTACATAACCCTTCATTTTGTATCCAGTTCAGAACATTATAAAACAGTAGTTTTTACACTTATTTGGCTACATATTATATGGTACTACATAGCTACAACGTACTACATAACACACATCTCATCATAACAATTAGTCTTCCCTCAGTACCTTCTTTCTATGACAATAATCTTTCAGTAAACATTAGTTATTTCATCTCAGATACCACTTAGTCAGACTACATATACTATTTCATCCCATACTTCTGCTTTCTCATCCCAGATATTGGTTATCTCATCTCATCTCAATCATCATCCTCTTCTTTTCATACAACATTTATTTCATACAACGATTATTTCATACTACAATTAGTTCATAGTAGATTTATTTCATACTACATTTATTTTATTAGGGGGTATCAAATATAACCAAATCCACCATTATTTAATTGACTGGTTTGAAAAAATCCACCCTTTTTTAAACATGTTGGTTCTTCATTTAACCCCTTTTGGGGCCCATTGATGCAATAAAATATTTTTAAAAAAGTGACTGGTTTCTAATGGTGGATTTCCTATATTTGATACCCCCTATTCTACATTTCTTTCATACTACATTTCTTTCATACCTTACACCCCATTACACATTGCTTATATCACCTACATATATATTTCACCACACAGATTTCTCATCTCACCTCAGAATATTTATTTCAGTCCTTATTATCTCATTTCTTTCGCACTACATATTATTTTTATCACAAACAGAAGTTATTTCATATTTTCTCCTTTTCAACATGTTTATTTCACACTACAAATTTGTCAACCACATTTATTTCATAACCACTTGTCTTTCAGATACAACTTATTTCATACCATCTTCTTATTTCAGCTGATATCTTACCACTAGTACCTGATCGGAACCACCCACATGTATAGAAAGAATACTCTTTCCCACTTACTTTGTTCCCCATGCTTGCATCAGAGAAGTAAACAGATAATTACTGAGCAGACATCACTTACTAGTAGTTACCAGAAGTAATTATTATTGATTTTCCCCCAGAAGATAAGAAATTGAACCCAGAAACCATTATCCCCCAGAGCCTCATCCCAACACTGCCACAGATACGATACACTGTGTGTATCATGGAGAATTCTGCAAAGCTGCATGGCCAAAAACCAAATTTGTTGAATCTCCTTGCAAATAAAAGCAGATTGGTCAGATAGTTTTTTTTTATTGGGGCTCAGATACATAGTGATACATGGCAGATACGGGCAGATACCGTATCTGTGGCAGCGTTGCTCATCCTTACCAAAATCCCCCACATCCTCAATCTCTCACCAGGTGACTTGTACAAGACATCAGTAATAAATTTACCCATAGAAATAGCCACACCTTTTCTTTTATTCTTAGTGTAACTCTCTCCCAAGCCTTGACAAGAGGGCAGCTTCATCAGCATCCAAGTCTTCAACTCACATTTTCCCCTGTGTAGTTGTTCTTATCCCCTCTAAGCTCTTTTCTTTAGCTTGAAAAGTTCCACACCGTGGAGGACTAGTTAAGCTTGTCATTTCCCAGAAAAGATTTTGGATGGCCTTTTAAATTCCCTGTTATCAACACATATTTGTCCCCCAAAAACCTTCTTCTTCTGATTTGAATAAGAAAAATTAAGAATTGAACAAAATCTTGTTGGCTTCAGTGCTTTTTTTTCTGAATTTGAGTCAAAATCAAATCAGGTGTAGCTTTTCCTTTTGGTTTTGTAGACTCTGCAGAAATATAATTAGGACCTCCTAGAACAAATCCCAAATTTTCTAAGTTTATGATTTCTCTTTCTCAAATTGTCTACAAGGGCTGCTGATTAGATGGAGAGTGCACTACTAGACTCTTGTATATCTTAATCAGATTCAGAAATTCTAGTGAGATTTAAATCCTCAACACTTGATCTTATCCAAGGCAGGGAAAAAAGTGATGATTCAGGATGAACATGCTTAAATTTCAGGCAGTACAATGTTTTTCCTCCAACTTGAAACTTGTGATTTTCAGTTCATACTAACCTTGCTATAACCTTGAACTTCTTTTCCACTGATCTAATTGTTATTCATATCTTCATACTTTCCCTGATCTACCTGCAAAAATAATCGTCAACATCAAATACCAGTGAGTGAATATTTCTTGTTCACTTACTTGAACAATCATCAGGCCCTTGCCATCAATTCCTTCAAGGCTTCCATGAAGGTTTACTCAATCTCCTTTTTTTGAGATTTGTTCCCCCTGGGATCTGGATGTGATTGTAATTATTCAAAAGATACTTTTCTTTCAATAATTTATCATTATTCTGTATCTTGGAGTCAGTGATGGCACCTTTCATTTTGCACTTGTGTTGAAAACTCACATTCACTCTGTGCTCTACAATCAATTAAAATCCAGGAGCTACCTCAGGCCAACCATCTCCTTCTTTGACTGAAACAATAGTTCTATCAATATAAATCATAACCCTTTTGTCCTGTGTCTCTTTCACATCCTGTCCCACCAGCCACGCATTGTTTGGTCTGTACCTGAAGTTCAACTAACCTCACATGGTTTTGGATGTAATGTCTCCACTAATTGTATAAACACAACTGCTTTCCAGCTCACAACAACTAATCCAAGTAGGAACAAGTGCAATAGAACATGTACCCCATCTGTTTGAGCCGTGGTTTGACAAAAAGCAGTGGCTGAGAATTGGACCCGTTTTGTGGTTTTCCCTTTTGGGGCCCATTGATGCAAAAAAAAGTTTTGGGAAAAGTGACTGTTTTCCAATGGTGAATTTCCTATATTTGTGAATCCCTACTATGTTAGTATGTCACCTGGATCCTTGTACATTATGTGTTAGAGTAGGAAATATTGACTAAACCATGTAGTTAGACCCTATGTACATAGTTCTAACCTAGTTTGGTAATAGGGACAAACCTAACCCTATCACTCACGTGCATGCAAAGCTCCGGCCCCACACGTCCGGGTATCCTCTCTCTGTTCCTCACTGAGATTGGACACCCAATACTGACGTGTGGGAGCCTGCTGTCACTGGACTGTTGTATGCAGGCTAGTTCAACATGCTTATAGTAATCAAAACCAAGATTGGACACCCAACACTGACGTGTGGGAGCTTGCTGTTGCCGGACTGTTGTATGCAGATCCGAGTTCTAACTCAAAAAACCCAATTGGTGGGCCTGAACCGCCAAACTAGCCATATTCAAGCCAAATACACCATTGCCGCACCCCTGACCTGCCAATCTTGCCAGCTCCCATCAGAGGGGAAACCCCCCACTCCAGTTGACCTGGCAGGAACTGGCTACTGTGTACCTTCAATGAACGGTACAGTACCACTCATTAAGCTCATCCTTGAGTATGTACAGTACCAGACTAAAAGATTCATCTTCTATGACCGGTACTGCACCGGTACAGTACCAGTCATTGAGGATATGTACTTCAATAGAATGTTGGAATGATAACAGTCATTGAGGTACTCAGCCGGTTTTTCAGGTTGAGGATCTCCACGACTGTCATTGTATCACTATCATTCATTAAGGCCCTCAACCCTGATGAGTAGTACCAGTAATTGACCCTGATAACCGGCACAGTATGGTTCATTGAGGATGAGTCCCTCAACAACAGTACCGGTCATTGAGAATTAGTACCTGAATGACCTGTATTGTACCAGTCATCAAGGATGAAGACCTCAATGACCGGTACTGTACCAGTCATCATAGGTGAATACCTTATTGTAGCGGTCATTAAGCTACTCATCCTCAATGATCATTGCTGCTACCTTATCGTTTTTCTGGTCTTTGATTGCTGGATTTAGTCACAGAAAACCGCCATCATACAAATCTACAGTCAAAATCATGTGTTCTCTCCGAGGTGTAAGACACTTGAGCATACTTGACTTGCTCATGACCTTCAGCTGGTATGGGCGGAACAAGCTGCACTCTTCCAACTATCACCGGCTCTCCAGGATCTGTGTCCCATCTGCATTGAACTTGGAGATCAATCAATGCATTTATTATGAAAGGGCCAGAAAGAATATGTCAAGGGCTCTGGAGTTCTTCTACACATTTCCAATCATATTATAAGAAACCAGATAGTAAGAAAAATGAAATGAAGGGGAGAATAACCAGAGAAGCCAAAATAGGTGGAATATGTCTGACTTGTAGAAACATGAGCAGTCAGGAATGAAAAAGAACAACCACCCTCCTCTAAGGAGAAAACAACTTGATAAAAAACATGTTGATGGCATGGAAGTACATGTGGAAGGCATCATTGAGACTTAGGTCCTTTCAGCCAGAAGACATTGTGCCACATCAGGAGAATGTGTTGATTCAGGTGTCGGTGAATGAATGCAGTCACATCTTCTTACTTGCCTACAAGGGTTGAAGTGAACCCATAATCCTTCATTTGCTGGAGAAACAAATTACACTCAG